GAGTTTTTCCTCCCCACTGTCGCCAAGTGCTTGCTCAAGGGGGATTTGTTGGGTTTTCCTCTATAATAATAGTGATAACAGTAAGGTCCAGACCTTACCTTGTAAAGTGTCCTGAGATGACTTTTGTTTTGATTTGGTGCTATACAAATAAAACTGAATTGAATTGAAAAAGCCAGACCAAAAAGGCAAGTTTTAAGTTTACATTTAAAAACATGAACACTATCCGTTCCTCTTAGCTCCTTTGGAAAACTGTTACAGCAGCTCAGAGCATGAAAACCAAAAAACACCTGACCAAGGGTTTCTGTCCTGCACTTTGGAACTACTGAAAAATTCAAAGTATCAGAGCATCTGAGAGACTTAGTGGCTGGTCCTGGTCCACACACTGGAAGCATATCAGACAAGCAGACTGGTGCAAGACAATGAAGTGCTTTAAAAACCAGTAAAAGCATTTTAAAATCAATACTGAAACTTATAAGCACCAAATGTAATGGCTTTAAAATGGTTTACTGTGTTCTCTTCTTCTGGTCCTGGTCAGCGCTCAGGCAACAGATTTCAGAATCAATTGTAAGTGAGTTATAAGATTTTTGGGCCGACCAGAAAGGAGAGTGTTACAATAATCCAGTCTGTCAGAGACAAATGCATATATTAGTCTGTCTGTTTCACTCAGAGAGAGATATGTGGCTGCACTTTATTTTTCAGAAGAGTAAAAGCAGATTTAGTGACAAACCCTACAAGTTTTAACATTCAGTTCTGAGTGCACTGAGATGACACTGAGGTTAATGGCTTGTTGACTTGGGATCAGTCCTAAAGAATTTATTTAGTGATCACTTTCTTTCTCTGAGCCTCAGACCTTTTAACCAAAGTGTCAGTTTTATGCTGATTGGGCTGCAACATGTTTTATAGCATCGAGGCACTGATATCTAAAATACATCTAAAAAGTGCATCAGTCCATGGGAAATGCCACAAGTTATTTGAGAAGACTTACAGGGTCTCACATTATATCCCGGATGTTTCTGTTATGGTACTGTGTTGTTGAGAAATACCAGACCTAATGGTGGCTGTTCTCTGAAGAAGACCACAAACTCCTCACATTTAGCATCAGCATACTGCTAATCCGCCTTGTTGAGCAGTTTGTCATTTCTTTTCAGTGCCTCTTCACCAGCAACAGCTGTGGCTGGTGGCATTATGTTTTCAGGTTGATCGTCTATCAGTCTGACCCACTCTCCTGAACATAGTATTTCAGAAATGCCTCAGAGAATTTCTTCAAATTTGATAACAAATGCTCACTTGGACTCCAGGCCGAACTGTTTTGATTTTGGTGGTCAAAGGTCAAGGTCATTGTGACCTCATGATTGTTCCATTCTCGTGAATTGGACTGGTTGGTGGAAGCATAGAACCAGGAAGTGGTAATTCCAGTTTATTTTGTGATACTCACATTCACAACAGCCTCTTTGGTCTGAGCCATGTCAGAGATGACACCATCTGTGATCATCAGCAGCACAAAGTACTGGGAGCCGTCAGTCACTTCTCCAGCACATCTAACATCACAACACACACATAGACATAGAAGTTAGGTTAAGTGATCTTTGCATGTAAAGATAAAATTCAGAGTAACATTACATTTCTGATGTGGTGGTACAAAATGCTAACAGGCTTTGGTCACAAAGGATGTATTTTTAGCAGAATACTTTGTTTGTTTGATGCATTTATTGACTTTGTGTTCCAGGTGTTTTACATCTGGTCTCTCAGTGAACCTGAAGAACAGAGGCCAGCCCCACCAGGATCCTGTTGAGCAATTTGTCACTTTTTTTTATTCTGTAATAAATTGCTATAGTGTTCAAAATGAATTGCAGTATAAAAAAATCATTATTGTGTGTATTAAGGTCACATAGCATAAAACAGTTTTTACAGAAACAGACTTACCACTGTGTTAGTGTTTTGAACAGCAACAAATAGACTTTCTTAATATCTTAAATGTCAAAACAATAAAGAACGGTGTTATCCTTTATAATGTATCATCTTTGGCCACACACACACACACACACAGATGCAAATGTGATGCAGGATTACAAAATGCCTAGCCTGGCTCCTGGACCTCTGAATTACTATGCACATCTATGCAGTGATTCAAAGAGAATAAATATAGTGAAATGAAATGGCAATTCACCCTGATTACTGAGTTACCAGGTAACAGTCAACACCTTCATTTTGAAGTTTGGCAAACTCACAATTTACAAATTTACATTAAAGTATAAAAATGAGAAACCTACTGACAGTGCTGATTTTACAGGGCCAGCTGGCTAATATCAGTCTGAAAATAACGTTAGTGTGTTTATGCTTAAAGGGAATTTTTACATTATAAAAGTTACTTATTGTAAAGGTTTTACATGACTATTCACATATAAAACAAATGGGCTTGTGTGTATATTATTCATAAAAGGTTTTGAATGGAATACACAGCATGCACTGCAGGTGATTGTAACGCCAACAGATACTCTGGTGGAAGGTTGTTCAGTATATGAATTAAAATGTTGAGCTGATGTACGCTCATGAGTGGATGCTAAGTTCGTCTCTGCCAGCTCAGATTTCTCATAAAATAGTCCACACAATCAGTGTTGTGTAACAGAACGTTTTTGCTCTCTTTGTTCTACACTGGCTGGCATGTTTGTATGTGTATGTGTGTGTGTGTTGCGTTGCAGGTAATGCTAGGGTCCCAGCAGGGAGAAGGAAGACCTGCTGTCTGACTCACTGTTTGATTGGCTCACACTCTCAGTCTGGCCCGAGGCTGAGAGCAGGCAAAATGGCAAACTGTCTTTCTGTGTGTGTGTCTTCCTGTCTGTTGGACTCCTCACAGTCTCTCTTCCTGCCTATCTCCACATCATCCTGCTTGTTTTCCTTGTGTTTTCCTCCCTTATCATACATCTTTCTTTCCCACCACCCATGCTCAGGTGCTCTCCATGCAGAATAATGGGAAAGTGCACTGATGAGTGAAACAGTTCAATTGGGGAACAAATTGCTCTTTAACCTCTCAAACCAGTTTGCTGGAGCTGCACTCATCTTTGCCGTCACATTATTTATTCACTCAATCATCGCTTTTCGTGTGTGTGTGTGTGTGTGTGTGTGTGCCTTTGTATTACTTACATCATGAGGACTAAAACCTGTTAACACACTCACACTGTGGAGACTCGGCCACCCTTGTGGGGACCAGAAGCTAGTCCCCACAAGGAAATCACTGAATTTTAGGGTGGCAACATGGTTTAGGGTTAGGATGAGGTTAGGGTTAGGTTAAATATTAAAATCAGGGTTAGGGTTAGGCAAGTAGTAGTTATGGTTAAGGTCAGGATACGTTCACAGGAAATGAATGTAAGTCAATATAAATTCCCCACAAGGAATCAAAACAGTGTGTTTGTGCGTGTTCTTTTCCTTTATGGAGCAAGAAATGCAAATATGGAATATACTACATGAATGTTCATAACAGAGTTTATGAACAAATCTATGTCACATAGGTGTTCAGTTGGTTCTATTGAGGATGCCTCTGAATATTGGATTTAACTTATTGATAATCACAGCACTGCAGGGACACTAAATGTCATGTGTAATAGAGACTGATCACATATTCAAAGCTGTGGTTGAGCATTTGCAGTGTAAATGGATTTGCAATAACAGCTTCAACAGGATCAAAAAACCAAAAGCACCACCCACTCCAGTGGCCTTATGAACTTGTCACCTGTTAACGCACTAAAAGGAGGCTCCCTCTCTCACTTTCTTCTACAGATTGGAGGATTACTGACTTTGTTCTGCACTTGAACATTACATCCCGACATTGACCACAGTATCCGGATAATACAGAGTGACTATCAACTCGCCACCCACTCATGCCGTGCTGAACTTAAAACAAATGCACCTTTTGTGTAAACACAGGAGGAGATGCTGTCATGGTGCAGAAAGTGAATCACCATTCAGTGGAATGATGTGACATTTAAATCAAAAGTAGTAACCTGTCTAATAAAAGAACACAAAGTAAAGTGTTAGTTATGTGGCTCAGGTTGGCCTAAATTATTTTTGCATAACATTGTTTTAATCATTCAATTTTGTTGCTTCCTTTAAATTGGCTTGAAAGTAACAGTTCCTAACCAGTTTCACACATTAGAATGTTTATTCACAGCTTCTGTAATTAACACTTTGGAAATTCAAGTACTGATTGATGTCAAATTTTTAAGACAGAGGCTTGTATATTTCCATGGAATGAATCAAGGGATGTAAATAGAGGAGACAAAAGCAACACTGAAATGAAGGAGACAGGAACATGGAGTGATTACAGATGCAAATGACTGAAGACTGAAAGAAAAAAATGGAGGAACAGAAACTGATTCAGGACCAGCCCAGGAGTGCGCTATAGCAGAAAACTGTTCAGGTCTTTCTTAATGAGATTTTAATCTAAATCCAAACAAGTTCAAAATGCAAGATTGGAACCTGCTAAAAATATTATTGACAGGAACTAACACAGAGATCTATATTATTAGTTATGTTTTTTGTGTTGTTTAACATTAGTAATATTTGTAGATCCAAATGTGCACAGGACATGTTCAAAGATGTTCACATTTCCTTTAAACTTGTTCAATTAGGGATATAACATATGGTTCCACTAGGGACAGTGTCAAGCTTAGCAATCCACCAGTTTATTGATCAGTGTTGGCTCTCATCTAGCTGCTCCATCATCCTTTCTGTTTTGAACCTGGCCTCCAACATGAAATTGGATCAACCAACCTGTAAGCCTCTGCAATCAATGGCGACCCATAACACCCTTCTCTGCATAGGTCTGCATAGACATCTACGTGTATCTTTGAAAAATGGTAGGTTTCAGTTCTGATCAGGTGAGACACACCATATAGAAGTTATTGTGTTTGAGCAGCACAAGACCAAAGAAACAAGAAACAAGGGATGCAGGAAATTCAATAAAGGACAAATTATTTACAAGCTAGATAAACTACAGTAAATAAAGTTTAAAAATATAAAAAAGAATAAAAATAAAAAGCAAACAAAGAAGCGTGTACTGTAGTAAGTATCCATCCATCTTCTTCTGCTTATCCGGAACCGGGTCGCAGGGGCAGCCGTCTAAGCAGAGATGCCCAGACTTCCCTCTCTCCAGACACTTCCTCCAGCTCCTCCGGGGGAATGCAGAGACGTTCCCAGGCCAGCCGAGAGACATAGTCCCTCCAATGTGTCCTAGGTCTTCCCCGGGGCCTCCTCCTAGTGGGACTTGCCTGGAACACCCCCCCAGGAAGGCGCCCAGTAACAGCTGATGCTGTAGTAAGTAATGCTATGCAATACTATATTATTACAGATTGGATGGATAATCTAGAAAAAAATGGTATGATAAGGTGCATCCAAGATATTAAAATTTGGATATTAATTAATAAAAGGCGAAACGTCTTCTACCTAAAATTATGTCCAGATGATTTCTTCTACATTTTTTCAGCACCTTGTCTGAAAGTTATCTTGAGGACAGGTCAGACCTCATTAAATTAGGCAAAACCAAAATGCGGTGAGATACAAGATTGATGCTCCACCATTTAGCAAGCAGCTGAGGTCAGAAAGGGTAGCAATACCCTCACAATTCACACATTCCCTCTATCCCCAAATGAAATATAAATGACACTATAGGACTCTACCCTAAGTAAACTAAATAGTTTGGTCTTAAATAGGAAGACGTTAAGTTACATGTAGACATGTAAGACCTGCAGTGTAGTATCACTGATGCCACTGAGTTCGCTCTACAAGAAGACTCTACAGCTTGCACTACAAATGAATGGAGTGATACGTCAGGAATGTCAAAATGTTACAACCATAAAGATGCATAGCAAACTTTAGTTATCCTGCCCCTGCCATTCCTGGGGTTACATGATCTTCTCTACTATGTGCAGGGTTGAGTGTCTGTTATGTGGTTTCGGGTTCTATTCTTTTTCTCATTTATTCTTTAACTACAAATCATCTGGAGAGGGCCAGAGATGTGCACTGGAGTTGTTGATTTGAATTCTGAGTCACAAATTAACTGACTTGATTTGCTAATCATGTTTACTCATCCTTCAACTACATACAAACTGGGCTTGAACTCACCAATGTAATAATTTTCAAACAGGAATATATCAGCAACTGATACAATCTCATAATCATTTCTGCTAAAGAAAAGTTTTGTTTTTGTACAACCTTCTCTAACAGCTGCAGCTGACAGACACAGGTGTTCGAAGCTGAATCAAAATACATCAATCAAAGTGACTAGATGGCCTTCTGCAAGGTCTGTACCATAAGATTTTGGATTCACAGTCTCCAGCGACCTCACAACAGAACTCAGGAGCAGCTCTGAATGTTTAATTCTAGTGATCAAGGGTAGCAAACTGTAGACTCTGATCCAGGCTGTTTGTTTGTGTGTAGGCTGATTATTTGTTTCCTATAATATAGGAAACAACATAAATTGTATTTTCAAAGACAGTCACAGAAAAATGTTGAAAAAAAGACAACACTAACAGTAAACACACAC